CCCCAAAACCCCAAAACCCCAAAACCCCATGAATGGAGATAGAATATATGAAGGAGTGAATGAATAAAGTATTCAAATAAAATAATTTAGAATATATTAATCAATCTTAAATGGTAAAGAAGAAGCAGACTGAAGAACAGAAGCAAGCAGCATTCGCAGCATGGCAAGCATCAGAGGAGTACACCAAAATCTTCAGCTTCTCTAATGCTAGAAATACCATAATGCCTATTGAAATGGGAACTAGAGACATTAGTGACAAGTGGGATCAGTTCTTGAAGGAGCTATTCGAACTGATGGTCTTCTTAAAAGTTCCTGGCAGGAAGGCTAAATGTAATATCTAACATTTTAACTAAATGATTTATAGCTTATGAACAGTAATATGTGAGAACAATGTTCTTGGAGAAGTGCGAGAAGAAGTCTATTGATGGCACAACTTACGATATTACAATGGGATGTGGAGTCGAAATTTGGAACTGTAAATCAAAGATCGTAGAAATCTATAACTACTTGGATCCCAGTATGATGGAAATGCAACTGACACATGAGACCTACATCAGTTGGAAAAAGGAACTTATTAAAATGCTCAAGGAATGGGATAAACTCTATGTGAAACATATTAAAAGTGGTTACGTCGAAATGAACGCAATTCATATGCAAGCAATGAAGCCTTTAACAAATTTACTTGAATCCAATTTGAATTTCCACTACTTGGAACTGATCGAAAAAAAGAAAGACGTTCCTAGCTTTAGACATGATGCTTTAGAGCAGAAATTTGAGGAGCACATGACAAAGATTTGTGAAATTTTCTATAACTTTGGAACTCTTAAGAATAGTTTTGATATTAAGTAGATGCTGCATGTACTTAAAACAAAAGACTGGCCAAATATTCCACCTCTATCCTTTTACTTCCAACCTCTCTAAGACGCTCTTAATGACACTAGAAATTGGCTTCTAAAGATGAACGAAGATGGTATCCTAAGATGCAAATATATCATTGAAGATAACACTGAGCTTATGGATAAGACTATTCTTATGATCTAGAAAGATTTAATCGCCTAATGGCTTGGAGGAGATGAGTTAAAGCAAGATTAGTTCAAATTCATTTACAAGGTAACCAAAGTTATCTTTGACTGTGCTCTAAGAGATAAACTTGTTAATAATGATCCTCATGTGGTTGATACAGTCATTCCTCAAATGGTGGCTTTCTATTCGATCCTAAATATTAAGCATATTCACGATACTAAAGCTTTAGAAAAAATAAAGGAAGAGGAAAAAGCAGAGAGGGAGGGCAGAAAGGTAACTTTTGGCTCAACCAAGGAAGAGGAAAAGAAAGGACCATTAACTGAAGAGCAGATATATAGAAGAAGAATTGAGCAGCAACTCAATTAATCCACTACCTCTTAATTCACAAGTGAAATGCAAAAGCAAAGAGAACTTGATAAATAAGAAAATGAAAAATACGGAGTAAGTTATTTAATACATTACAAATTTTTATTAGAGAATGTGGATTTGGGATGGCTACATCAACCCAGCTAAGAAGGAGCAGTTCTTAGCATGTGCTGAGAAGTTGCGTCATGTAAATTCTCATGTGGTTGAAGACATTGAGGACTTCATATTGCTTTAAGGCTTTAAGGGAATGAAACCCCTTGATATTAAGAAAACTATAGATTCAGATTTGCATAACAGAAGAATGAAGAAGAAGAATAGAACCAAGGAGGATGAAGAAGAAGAGAAGATCTAAGACCAAAGAAGAAACTTCCTTTATCAAATGAGACCCAAGTTCTGCTGGAATTTCTTTGATGATTCAGAGGTAAAGATCCCTCACTTGCTCAGATATAATGCCAGTCCCATGGAATGCTATGAGGATGGAAGAGTTCAAAGCATTTTAAAGGATATTTCTGAGATTGGACATCACTTGGCTAAATATGAGGAAGTAAATTGGAAGAGGCTTAGAGACTCTACTCTTGAGATTTTCAGGCACATGGACAAGCATGAGGGAGATGATGATGATAAAAAGTGAATGAGCTTATTAGCAAACTCGAAAAAATTATAATAGATAATTTAAGTTCTTAATAAAGATTACTTCAATTTCGATCTATTTTAATCTAAAATAATGAATGGGGTTTTGGGGTTTTGGGGTTTTGGGG